GGGAGAGAAGGGAGGGGAGGAGAGGAGGGGGAGAAATGGGGGAACAAGAAGAGGCATGAACATAAAAACTCGGAGGTCCGCGCCGATCCGAGAAATCCGCGCGGAGCTCCGAGTTTTTATGTTCATGTCTCTTTTTGTTCCCCTGAGAAAGCAGAACACAAGTAAGCCCAGCACACATCACCGATGCTGCAATCCAAAAACAGCTCGTTCCAGTCCCACGCTCCTGCTCGTAATGCATACGCGGTACTTGTTGCCGTTACGGCGAATGCCCAATGAAAAGTGACTGCGCTTTGGACCTATACGGCGGTAACTCTATATGTTTCGAACTGCGCCCCTACCATCATGTAAAGCGTTCCTTGATGGGAATTCTGAACGCCCGCCCCCCACGTAGCTGGCAGAGACTCGAAGGAAAAGCGCCCGCCGCGCCAACGCGGGAGCACGACGTTTCGAAGAGTCGCCATCCATACGTGAGGCCGCTGGAAATTCCAAGCCGTGGACTTGGAAAAAGCACCCGAACGCCCAGGGCCAGAGCAAGACTCTGAAAGGGCCCCCCTCCATCTCTACTGTGAAGTCGGGCCTGTCCCCCTACAGGGGGACTTGGAGCGAAAAATCAAAAATACTCCCAAAATACTCCCAACATACTCAAAAATAATCAATAAAAATGTCCCCAGACTATTTTTTGACTATTTTTGAATATTCCTCCTGTAGAGGGACAGGCCCGACTTAACTCTACTGCTTCGGGCAACCTCAAGCCCGAGAGCCTCAAGATCGCGTGCGGGCGCGGCCCGTCTCTTCGGTGAACTGGGCAGCAGCGCGGCACTCCTCTGCGACAGCGACCTCACCGACAGCACCTCCCCAGCCTTTTCCGCTCCCTGTGCACCGCCCCTGCCCTGGCGCAGCTGCACAGCGGAGCGCCTCCTCCGAGGCAGCTACGATCCGCGCGCGGCTGCGACGTCGATGCGACAGCGCAGGACCATTGTCCCAAGAGTTGCTGCGCAGCGCCGCGCAGAAGCTAGGGCATCCTGCGCACGGTACCCAGCCGCAGCGCGCTGAGGGGCGCCCCGCCGCAAGCCACGGCGGCACCCTGAGCGCGGGCACTGGAAGCAGGCGGACAAAAGCGGCCGGGGGCCGCCTGGCTCTGGCTCGCCGCCTCCGCCAGATGCCTCGAGAGCGCCGAAGAGCGCCCCAAGAGCGCCCCAAGAAGGTTCGAAGGGGCATGTTCTCTCAGGGTGGGCCTGAATTGAAGGCCCCCGTCGTTTCGAACAATGGGGCCCAGGAGTGCCCCACGAGGCCTCCCGGACGCCACCAAGGAGCCCCAAGAGGGTTCCAAGACCCTGCAAAAAAAGAAGCCCCAAGAGACCCCACGGGGACCCCAAAAGGGCCCGATGGTGGCCCCAAGAGTCCGCCAAGAACCTTTTGCAACAACATATCCTCAGAGGCCAACTCCTCATCCCCATTGTCCTCGTCCGTTCCTTCCTTCCTTCCTTCCTTCCTTCCTTCCTTCCTTCCTGCCTCCTCCCACCTCCTCCTCCTTATCCTCCTGCCCCTGTCCCTTCCAGCCCCGATTGTCAAAGATAACGATCCCCCCGCCCCGAGAGGCCCCAAGATTTGCAGCTCCAAGAGGGCCCCCAGAAGAATCCAATGAAGCCGCCGTGGCACGGAGACATGTGCTAAGCCATTCGGAAGACATGTTCCCGCTGGATCTGCGCCCCCGACACCGTTCCAGGGCGGCTGTTCCAATGTATGCTTTTGCACTTCCCTGATCAAAGCAGCTCGCCTGGCGATCGTTTCTGGATGGGCTGGCGGGGACATGCGAAGCGTCAAGAATTGCCCCTGGGCCCAGGAGTTGCTGCACAGCGCCGCGCAGAAGCTCGGGCAGGCTGCGCACGGCACTCAGCCGCAACACCGCGCGCGCGGGCACGGGAGGGAGCCCAGGCGGGGGGGAGGCCGCGGCCGGGGGCCGCCTGGCTCTGGCTCGCAGCGTCCGCCACAGGCGGTCTGACCCCGGGCGAACATTTAACCAGCTGCGTCGCAGAAATGGTCCACATGCAGGACCGCACGCCCTGCATGTACAGCCCTTCAGACTCCCTTCGACGAAACCCATGGCAGGCACATTGCGGCGCTGGGGAACGGGTTCGAAGTCTGCGCGGGAAGCGGTCCACTGTCCCCGGCGCCCCCGCGACGTGGCCTTTTGGATGATGCGCCTCGCCTGCCAGTCGCTGAGGGAGACAAAAGCTGGCCCCCTACTTGGGCCGCGCGTGATCAATTGCTTGGCTTCCGAGAAATGCGTTTCCACAGCCCGCGCTCAAAGATGACCGGTATTCTGGCGACGCGGGCCGACACGCCGTAACTGTAGCCTGCATCGCCATGGTGCACATTCTTGGCCGTCAGCACGCCGTCAGCACCGGGACATCCACATCCCATCATCACAGGGACATCTACTTCGTCACGGGCACATGCGCGGACGGCTTAGGCGCCAAAGGCTGATGATCAATGGCGC